CAGGGAGCCAGGAGGGAGCATGCAAGGTTTAGGTGACCAATGCTCACTCACAGAAATAGGCATAGCGCCCACCTTGAGAACAATGCACACGCTAGACCACGCTTGCAGGCGCCGTTCTCTGAGTAACTTGAAACAGTGAACACTTTTGCTACAATTCAACTCTGGCCCCAGATAAATAGTGTAAGGAAAAGTTAAAACTAAACACTTCTGAAAATTACCAGCCATAATTAGCGCTAGCTTTGCTGTAGAGGACATTCCTCATGCTCCTCTCTCCCCCCCCCAGTGTGGTGCTGGGATGAGAGGGTTTTAGGATTTGAGTTTGGTGCTGGGGAAGCAGAGAGAGTAAATATAGAACATCAAGTTGTGTGTAGGCAGTGACATATTTCCCGTCCCACATGGCCAGCAGCATGCTGAGTCTTTGGTACCATAGCCAGCTTGCAGGGCGTTGTGTCTTGCCCAGCTTTTGTTTCCTCAGACTGACGTGAAGGGTTTCACTGCTTGATTTTTGGGGAAAGTCTACTAACTTTGCCTCCTCATGCTTATTTTTGCTTTCCTTTTAAATGCAAGATAAAGTTCCTGAGCTCTCAAATGTACCAGAAACCCAGATAAGGAGAAGGGGAACTCCTCTCTTATGAAGAAAACAAGGCATGGCTGAGGCGGCCTCTGGGGAGATGGGGGTGGAGTGCGTCATTCCGGGGCGGGCTGGTGAGCTGGAGTCATTCGGGGACGCTGGCTTTGCTCCAGATTCTCTCTCGCTCTCTTTTAAATCTCCCCTTCCTGTAATTTTACCAGCACGGTAGGGTTTAATTTGTTATTGTTGTAGCTAGTGGTACTGAGAGCACAAGAGTGCATGTGTGAGAGAGTTAGAGGAAAAAGAAGGGAAGGGACTGGTTTGCCCTGGGAGTGGCAGGACCCTAGAGGCTAGAGCTCTTTGTTCAAAGCTTCCCACACAGACACTGGCAACGCAAGAAAACAGTCCTGCCAAGTTTCCCTCATTGGCAACAAGACTGTCTCTGTTTGGATTCAGACAGGTTAAAATGTCTCTTACTCTTGTTATGAAGCTTTTTACAGCATGTTTCAGTGAGACACTGAAAATCTGTATCCCCCTCTCCCTCAATCATACAAATTGTGACAAGTCTGAGAATAGATTACAACATGCCAGGAGTACAGCACGTAAAACTGCCAGCCTTGGCTAGGCAGAGTGTGCAACTCCTTTTTAAATTAGTGTTTCGGACTCTAATAGTTGGAACAGGGGACCTCAGGAGTTCTGAATTCTCCTTTCAGGCTCCAACACGGTCTTTAAGCAGCCATGGCCAAATCACGTGCGTGACTCCATTTTTCTAGCGTGGGCGTGGTAGTGAGTACTCACCTCACCAGGACTGGTTGAGGTTCCATTAGTTAATGTTTGTAAAATATTTTGAGAACCTCCAAGGGAAAGACTAGAAACAGTTCTCTTAATAGTCACGACCAAAACATGATTACAAAGAATCTTGACCACAGAATGTACCAAGCTCTTCTAAGGAATAGAACTGCTCACACATTCTTTAGAACTGAAATAAGATTAAGAGCAGCACTTTAGGCTGGAAGTGGCATATTTGTGATTGTGATAAGACATTGCAGCTTGTGACTTGCTTGAGAAACACACTCAACATTAGCCAGTGTACTTCTAACTTAAGGTTCTCACACTACTTTTGAGACACGTGAAGAAAAAGAGGGTAGATGTGGGAGGATCAGTTCAGATGCTGTTGGTTCAAATCCAGGCCAGATTGGTAGAGCCTCAAAGCTGGTACTATCTACATGAGATCCCCTTTGTGGGTTCTGACCAGTCTCTAGTGGACTGGTGTTCAAAGCAAAACCACCCTCCTTCCTGCCACAGTTACCACTTGCTAGGAATTATAGTCTGAATAGAGGAGACAAGGATTAAAGGATCAAGGAGACTGACTTGGCCTTTTATCTGCAGACCTTGGTTGCAGTAGAGAATTGGACTAAAAAAATTCTCCACTAGTGCTTCCACTAGTGAGCCTGCCATTGAGACCCCAGCGTAGAAAAAGCTCCTTGGGATTCTGACTTTTTACCACCATGATAATTAACCTCTCCCATGCCTGTGAATGCCACATGATTTAAAAACCAGCAAGTCCTAGCACTAGATAGAAAATGATTCACTACAATGTTTTCAATCCTCCCTCCCCCAAATACACCACTTATTTTCATGCCCCCCTCCTCTCCCATTTCTGGGTGAGTGTCCTGGGGTTCAATATAATCACAGGCCACAAATTATGTATTCTCAAAGTCCTAATACATACCAGCAAGCTAGATGCACTATAAGGCTTCGTCTGCACTGCAGTGCTAGTTCAGGAAATTCCAGTATCCTGAAATAGCTATTCACAGCAAGCCCATTATTTCGGGCACGTTATTCTGACGTCCCTGTAAACCTCATTCTAGGAGGAGTAAGGGTCATTTCGGAATAGTGGTTAATTTCGAAATTTGGTGCTGTGTAGATGGCACCAAATGATGAAATGAGCTATGCAAATTGCGTATCTTATTTCGATGCTATTTTGAAATAGCTTATCTTATTTCAAGTTATGGTGCATTGTAGACACAACCTTGGTGTGTAAATTTCAAGTCAAAATTCAGTCTTACATAGACTCCTGAGGCCCTCATAAGATATGTAATGATCCATACAGATCTTATAGAATACTCAGCTCTGTGTCCCAAGTTACACTGATGTCCTTGACATAAAGGTCCTAGGCATTCCTAGTTTTTTTTTTTTCTTTAAAGTTACCTCTAAATCTATGGAAATTCCTAAACATAGCTTGAACAAAACAGAGTGAAGAGTTACCTGGCACGGTTATCTTCCCAGTCTCCTCTCAAGCACCAACTCCAGCTCTTTGCTTTGGGGAAGTGAGTGCAATTGGAAAAACCTCTGCAGTTTGCTTCCCCATGGACCACGATGCAGGAGTGCATACAGGGAGCTACTATGGATCCCTCATTGCTGTCTGGACTCTCATTCTTCCCCATTACTCCTTCTCAGGCAGTGTTGCTTTAATTTTTCCATTGCAACAAAGAAGTGGAGAAGGTGCAGAAGAGGAGTTAATGTAACTGGGCTGGCAACTTCCTGCTGCAGCACTACCTAATTCTTTGCTGCTTGTCCTCCCCTCTGCAGTGTAAAAGGAAAGCTGTATTTAGTAAAAGATGTATATGTTTGCTGAACATGGTGACAAAAGAGGAGATGTGGTTGCTCGTATTAATCTAATAAACTCAAGGTCAAAGACTGTGGTCAGCCTCAGTCATTTTATATTAGAAAGCCACACAGTATAAGCATAAAGAGTAAACAATATAAATACAAAGGAGAACTCAGACATGGCAGGCTAACTGCCTGCTTTCCCAGTTCACCAGAAGCACAAATCATAGTATCAGATTGCTGGACCTTCTAAAGCTCCTCTACACTGCTTCAAGGCAAGGCAACCCTAAACTTACCTCCTGATGACTGTGCGCGCTCAGGACAAACTTTGCATGGGATACAGTCACCGTGGCAAAGCACACACCACTGCCCCTTCCGTACACCGGAGTAAGGACATGTCCATGAGAAAGAGAGAGCCCCTGGGGCAAGGTGAGCTTTAGCTGCTGAAATGGTCCCTTGAGGCTGTGGGCAGCTAGGTATAAGTTAGAGCAGTTTCTGCCTAGTCCCAGGCTCAGGAAAGTGTAAAGGGAGCTTAAAAACCAGCTTCTCTTCCCACTCCCTGGTTTTGCAATGGGCACAACTCAGCTGGAACAGATGCTCTGGCTTGCATATAACCTTTTCCTATCTGGTTAGGTGCCCTTATTCTTGATAAGGCTAAACATCTGCTGCAGTTGCAAAGGAAGAAAGTTGTTTTACTGTTATTGACATTCGCTAACGTCATGAACATTTAGCAGTATGCAAAATCAATTCACTTTGAGTACGTCTAGACAGCAGGACCATTTCGGGATACTGGAGGTATCCCGAAACAGCTACCCTGTGTCTTTTAAACGTGTGCCCGTTATTTGGAAATATTTTTCGAAATAACGGGTGAACTGTTCTGGCATCCCTGTAACCTTCATTCCACAAGGGTTAAGGGATGTGTTGAAATAGTGTGTTATTTTGAGATTTGCTACTGTGTAGATGTGCTAAATTTTGAAATAAGCTACTTCAAAATACAATCGAAATAAGATACTCAATTTGCG